CCATGTGCTCTACCAAAGCCCTGCTCTTTCTGGGTCAGTTCGCCTGTATCCTGACTATATACGCCACTGTTAAACAGTCCTGATCCTGGAACTGAGCCAGTAGTTTTTAGATATGGTTTCATCTGTGGTCTTAATGAGTTAAATCACTGCTGTGATTTTCAGGATTCAAACAAGTCAGAATTCTGGCCGATTTCAGGGGGCAGATCACACAGGTCTGAAGCACTGAAGGTGACCTTCAGTATCAGCAAACTGAAAGGGTTATAAAGCTTGATCTCAGAGAAACTCCATGGACACATATACTTTGATACTATAATACTTCCATCACATCTTAAAAAATTATATAGTCTCAATTAAGCCTTGCTTTTGTGGCAATCTCTATATGTCAGGGTGTAAAAGTTTTGATAGTACAGGTTGAAAAGCTAAATAGATTGGACAAGCTCTTACTTGAACCAAAGAATAACACTGTGACAACACAATTTGGTAAACAAACGATGGCTTTAATTACTTTAAAGACCTATCCCAATAGAATTATTGCTGCAATTCAAGCAAAACCTCCTTCCACAAACTATTATCTCAGGGGTGTAGATACTTCTTCAACCCCTTTTTCTAGATTTTCATTTGTAATTACTTTTCAGAAAGTATATGTCACTTGGAGGTCATGTTACAATGTGTAAATAAAGGTACAATTCAGATTTTATGCATTTTGATTTCAGACTCTTGGGCCGTAAAATGAATCACCCTTTCCAAAGCTTGTAGACATTCAATAGGCAATGCTTGTCTGTTTGGCACATGGTGGTTTTTAATGCTCACCAACAATCCCTGGAGTACAGTGATGACCTTGTGGAAATTATTCATCTTCTACAAATGACTGTCACTTTGTCAGAAACACCTCCTTTTCATATCTCCTCTCCTCAGTTAAATCAAAGTTTCACAATTTCGATTCTTCAGTCTGATGTAAGTACCTCAGCAACAGGCATGGTCAAAAACATACTTATAGGAATTTACTGCAAATATTAGATTGTTACTCTATAATGTATTCCAGCTAGCAATCAAGAGACAGACAAAGTACTGAAATAAAACTGGAAAACACCGCTGAACGTTGAACGACACCCCACCCAGGAGACGTCTTGTGCTCTGTGTTCCCTCAACACTGCAGAAACCAGGATTATCTGCTGTGGCTCTGGAATGGACTTTCCTTTTAGGGGAGACTGAACACGTCACACTTCTTCCACAGTGAAGCCAGGCTGAAAACACTAAACAGAACCGTCATAGATGGTAAACAATCCCAGTTCCGAGCTGTCACCCCCTTCACTGCTTTGCACACTATGAATCCAGAAATGGAAAAAGGAACATAAATGCTGACAACAGGTTTTCTTGCTATCAAACTGAAAATAATTCAGACAAAAATGAGGTCTCTCACACTGAATGTTTACCATATACCAATGACTACAGATTTGCAATTTAATTAAATGTTACCAAGAAAAGTTAAAACATTCAAGATTTTTTAAAGACATCCTTAGTCATTTCAAAGTGCTCCAGAAAAGTTATTTGCCTTGTCATGACCACTGCAGTTAACGAGTGAAGTAGTGCTTTTCCATCATCTAAAACCACAAAATGCCACACCCTCGAATTCTGCTCAGAAGCGTCATCACCCCAGCGCCTTTCCCCCTCTACTAAACCAAGAGATATGAACTTTTTGAGCACATTCTCCAGTTCGAAGGTTTGAACCAAAGGTATTTCTATACAGACATGCCTTCCTGTGTCAAATGTTATGCCATAGGAACCTTAAAGAAATATAGGTTTATCATTATTATTAACTTAGGAAGCTGAACTTTCCATTAGAGCCAAAAAGTATGATCATACGATACTGTTCTTGAGTCCTATAGGTCTATCATGAAGTCATATCTAAATCACTTACATGTTGCTCAGGGATAGGCCTTCCTTCTATAGCTTTAAAAATTGTGAACCTCCTACATGTACAAAATGTACCAGTAAGGATAATGCCATGAATATCACATAGGAAATAGCTCAAAACAACTTAAATCACAATAAATAAATTTGATGATGTCCGTATGAAACATGTGAAAAGTGCAAGTTGTTAACAAAAAGCTCAATATGTTATTCTCTCCCTCAAGGCTTCATTGGCACAGCATGTAATTGGGCACAGTAAGCTTCTCTCCTGCGTTAAGGTGATACCTCCAGCCAAGTTAGAAACCTATACAACAGAATATTTTTCTTCTTAGCAACTGTCAGATACTGTGCGGGCTTCATTTTACTTTGCCTCTTAAAGGTTTCTATAAACCATAACCTGAATGGGGGCAGGCAGAGAATTTGATAACGACGTAGTGCAATGTTATACATTCCAGCCCCTTTCTACTGCTCTGGTCTTGAAATCTTGAAGACTGTAGACAGTGGGTGGCAAAAATACGCTGGACCCCGAGTTTCCGGAAACTCAGATCCTGGATGGATGCAAACCCGGTCCCTGGAGAGCCTCTGTCCAGCATTTTTTATGGCGCAGAAGGCTTTCAATTTGACCATTGCACACACTGATTTGTTCAGTTACATAATTTAATTTGAACTGAAAATATAGATATCCTTTAACTCTCAGGGACCACAGTAGGTCACTCCTACCTTTATTGAGGTACTTAACTCACTAAACTGACTAACACTCATGTGCTCGAAGTCTTACAAATAGATGATTTAAGGACCATCAGAAAGATGTGCTGGACTGTGCTTTTAAGTACAAGGGCTGTATAAGTGTCTAATGTTTCAGATAGTACTGATGGTGCAACAGCGGTGACCCACAGATTTGTTTTTCAAAACCTTGTTTCTAATATTAGTATTATTTAGAATTATTTCAGACTTTGACTATGTTCATTAATTATGTATCCTTACTGACAGATGTTTGAAGAGTCGTTCAGCCAAATAAGGCTGTATTTTCCATGCTCTCTAGATGACAGATAAGAAATCAGGGCATTACTGAAGAAAGTTTAAGGAGTTTTAGGCCATGCTAGTCGTGTTTACCAAATTCCTGACTGTAAACTGCAGATCTGTGAATAGAAGTTAACTCTTCAAATGTCCCTTCTGGAGAGTTGCTGACACTTGTTCTAGAAGCTGTAAGGCTAAATGATGTGTTAAATAAAAAGGATTTTTTTTTTAAATACAGTAATACACTCCTCCAATTTTCTATTATAATATCCCCTTTCGGAACTATAGTTTAGGTTTTGCTACCTGCATTTAATGTCCTTTACTCCTTAACGTCTACATTTAATGACAACTACCAAGTGATTTCCTAACCTCTTTTGGGGCATCATCTGTAAACATGACTAGTTTACCATCTAAACCAGAAACGAGATCCATCCATTTTCTAACGGCTTCGTCCAATTCAGGGGCGCATAGAAACGCAAAGCCTATTCAGGCAACCAAAGGGAGAGAGGCAGGATACACCCTGGAGGGGACGCCAGTCCATCCCAGGGCAGACACATACACGCACACTCCCACACCAGGGCCTATTTTCTCCATAAGCTAATTCACCAAAAAGTGGATGGAAACAGAACAGGGAGGAAGCAATGGGCCACTGTGCCACTGTACGAAATACAGAATCTAGACCATTGACATAAATCAGGAAGAAGAGTCCCTCCCACTAGTGGCAGCACAAACGGCCAAGACTGCTTCATCTACTGAACTTTAAACTCTGTATTTAGCAGGTGAAAAACAATCCTATCAACCTGTACATCTCCACAAATGAAAGATCACGATCACTTCATGACAAGGAGAAGAAAGAACAGTTAACACAGATTACCCATAGGTGATCCCACATTTTCTCTCTCTCTCTCCAAACTGAAACACAAGATGGAAATCTTCCCTTAACCACCTTGCAAAATCACACACTTAAAAGAAAAAGCCAATTCACTCGGCAGACACGTTGCAACATTATAAGAACCGTTTCACTGCAGATAGATAAAAAAATCAGTCTCACATAAGCACAATTAAAAAAAACAACAACCGACTTGTGTGGTGTAAGGCGCCTAACCACATTCCACCGCAGCGTGACAGAGCTGGGAGGAGAGGCGCACCTCATGCTGAAATAAACGCCCGGGGGCAAGTAACCCTTCTGCAACACCTTGCTCCCCTGCGATCAAAGGGCACTGATCACTACTCACCCAGCTCTTCGGAAAGAGCACACTGGCGGATGGGTACCGTTACCAACACGCTTAGAGGTTTCTTTCCATTAAATCAACCGAGAACGGACTGCACTGGGACCTTCTCAGTCTTACACTTGGTATTAAATTATTAAGCAGCTATTACTTACTAAATTACTAAGCATTTTTGGAGACTGCCGTATAAGATCGGATGCATTTACCTATAGGAAAGTCACCTTACATCGCGAGGCAGTCAAACCCTGTGGACTTCCCATGCGGTGATCTTGCTCTCCAAGTGTTTTAATTCCAAATCGGCTTCTGAGGCTACAGTGTCACCCGGCAGCAAGGAGCAAGACAGCAAGCGAACATCACGTCCTAGGACAAGGGCATCTTGCCCAACTCTCCCTCGCTGTGCAATAAGTTCCCGTCAACTTTGTCGGCAAAGGTGCAGCTACCCCACCGCGGCATTGTGGTTTGCGGCGGGCTCTTAAACTTTCAGGCAGGCTTTCGATATTGCTGCAGGTTCTCTCAGACTCAGACCAGCACCTTTGCCGGACAGCAGGAGCCGGCGCAGGTCTGAACTTCAGACACCGGTACTAGCACGGAATCGCCAGCACACACGCTCCGAATCACTGTCACTCCGAATAGACCAGGCCCGATAGACCGGCAATTACACCCAAGCCACATCCTGACCATTGATAGAGCGCAGAAATGCCACGGGCAACACGCAGAAAATACTGGAACCAGACCATGCATATATAGGATACCGAGCTCTTATGTTCTACCTTTCACAAAGTTAACGGGGGAAAAAATCCCCGTTCAAAAACCCATGAAAAAGAGTAAAACATTTGGACTCACTATTCCTTAATCAGCACCATCTTCTCTTCACCAGCTGCGGCTGCGCAGGTGCTGACGTCACCCCGCTTTATCAACAACAGCGTTATTCCGCCCCCAGCTTCCGTTGATTGGCTACTCTGGGGCAGGCTAGGGCGGAAACGCGGCTGTGCAGGGGGGGGGGGAAGGAACAAGCGGGGATTCTAATTGGTCGAGGGATGTGTCGATCAACCCCCCCTCCCCGCCGAGCAAAAATCATGAGGTCTTGCGCCACTTTTGGGAGGTGCAAAGATCGTATGAAATAGGCGCCATTTTGGCTCTATGTATAAGCGCAAAGTCCTTTAGTAAGCGTGTTAGTATTCGATCCAAAATGGTGCCCGCATAACCGCAGTGTCAATTTTCCAGACATGACAGTAGGCATCACAGGAAGGAACATCTCACACTTACTGAGCTTATAGTGTAAACTGGAGGGGCGGCCTTCATTGCGTTTTATGAAGAAAAACGATGTGCTGTAGTGGTTTTGCTGATCTCGTTCTTGGTTTCAAAGTAAACCGTAATCGGAAAATGGCATTTTGTTTGGGGAAAAGAAGGTTAAGAGTTAATGGAGATTAATCAACTAATAGAAGCCTGTTACTCTGAGAAACAGTATTCATCACTTGATACATTTATCAGTATCAAGTGGTTTAGTGTCAGTCATGTACAGTATATGCCTGAAATTTTATACCGCTGATCAGTGGTGTAACAGGTGTTCCTTCAGTTTAATTTCTCTATATAGTCCCTGAGGGAGAGTCAGATTTCCTCATTTAAACTAGATAGACATAATGTGACTGTTTTATGTTTAAGAAAATGTAAAGTGACAGTTTAAATTCCTGTTACTTCTACAAGGCATAACATAATTAAGCATTAGTGCAAACAGGTTGTGTGGAACTCAAAGGACAATAAAGTACCTAGAGAAATCCATTGGGTATATATAAAAAATGAATAACAATCTGACACAGGCTTCTGACAATGAACACACTCCTAGTGTTACAGCTTCAAATAAACTAATTCAGTTCAGAAAGTTACACTTCACAAAAGAATCCAGATACTAAACCTTCAGTTGAACCATGAAGGACATCCCATACAGAAGTGATTTTAAAGTGAATACTCTACGCATACAGGTAACGAAATGGAGTGCAATAAATACAAGCACATGTGAAAAGAGATATTAGCAAGGCCGATAAAGAGAAAAGATTATGCAACGCAGGTTTACATAAATGATCATCGTTTTACAACACAATAATCTTAGGGATAATAATGGGAAGCTTTCATACTAGGAAAGGGAAATGGTCATTTTTTTAAATTAATATTTCAGTCAAGTGTATACAAAATGAGTGAGTTTCATATTAAATAGTGTTATATACAACAATAAAACTATAACAGTATTGAAAGCACTTGTAAAAAAGGAATTTGCAGGGCATGATCGTAATCTACTGACTATACGTGAGAAAGAGAAAGATTAACAAAACGTTCCCAAAACGCCATACAGAACACCTTGGAAACTGGTTATGCAGTATTACAATACTTCTGATCATTTCATGACTAGGTAACTTAGAGTTCAAGTAGAAAAAGAGATCTTATAATTATATAGAAGGCCCTTTAAATTGAGTTTCTTTTTAATGGTAAAATTTAAGTCAAACCATGCATCTTTTTATCTGTATGTCACTTCATGTAACAAAATTTGACAAATATTGTTTACATCTTATTTTATAAACATAGCAGGTTGATCTTTAAGGGTTTGTGTAAAAGATATTGTGTTGAACTTTACTAAATTCAGTTGAGACAATAGATCAGTTAACAGTGAGCTCATCGTGAAAATTATATGTGCACATACATACTGTTATGTTTTCACTGTGTTTCATTATATTATGTATATATATATATTCCTTCAAACAAAACAACTTTCATTCTCTGTATTTTGTTTACAGTTGGGTATAATGTCATTTCACTGTGTTGTGAAGGTGTCCTGTGGCATCTACTGATTTGTAACTGTGTGATGTTATGTTTCTCTGTTACCACAGCAAGGGTAACAATGTTGCAATGTTGCTAAAGCATTTGCTAGTGATATATCAGTGTGGTTGTAAGAATGTCATAATACTGTATTATGTTATTTAACTGTATATCCTGGAGTCTACAAATCTGGTACATTTCATTATTTGTTACAATAGAGTTGCAGTATTGGCACAATGCTATTTAGATAAGATAAGATCACTTTATTGGCCATATACAATTTCTTGTATTAGGAATTTGTCTTTTCACATGCCACAGCTTGCTCTCCATGAGACACACAGACAGGGATAGAAGCTTGGGGTCAGACGCAGGGTCAGCCATTTATACAGTGCCCCTGGAGCAGTTGGGGTTAAAGGCCTTGCTCAGGAGCCCAACGGAGTAGGATTCTCTGAGAGCCACCACACAATTCTCTCATTGAATCAGAAGTGACAACAGAATAAACACGAGAAACTAATCAAGGCGCTGATTTAAATGTAGATTTCATGAATATATGTCACAAATGTTTTTTTCTGTATTTTCATACTGTAGATCTACTTCCCAACTGCAATTGAAGTTCATTCATGCTTCATTTTCATGGTGCTTGTTCCACATACAACTCATTTTCTGTGGCTGACAAAAGTCCTAAACTTTTCATTGAAAAGAGGTCAATTACTAAATAATACCACCTGAATTCAATATACCTTACAGATAAGGAGCAAGTAATAGGTTTATTCCATGCTGAAAAGAGAAGAAAGCATGGAATAAACCTATTATTTGTTCCCTTGCAGTTTACGTATGCTGACGCAGCTATGCACCTGAACTACCTCACAGATACATACATCATTAAATCCTGTAGCTGCAGCTCCTATTGGCATGTTAGTGTGCACTAGGCATTTACTTTGAGTTTTCAAGGCTAGCACAATACACGTTTCACGCAAGACTAATGACAATTGAAATAAATGGCATCAATCCAAGGGAGGTCATTGATTAATGTGTGCAAGGGCCAATTAACATTGACAGCTAAAACCAGGTAGCTGAAATAAATATATTTGATATTTAAGAAAAAAAATAGGTTGGAGTGCCTTTGAAGGATTAAACTTATGTTAAAGGAGAAAATACTATATATTGTACCTGAAGTCATAACCTTTATGTTGTGATAATGTATCCAAAAGTCATGCAAAAGCTTTTGACAACCCAAAATAATCGGATGATGTGCAGTATAGAACAAGAAGAAACAGATGAAGAACGACAAAATGGTCCAGTGACAGCTGGAATGACCAAAGGGGGGCCCGATGATTTCTGAGAGGAGTTCCCTGAAACACAAATTATTAAAAATGTCCAATGTGGCTTGAAGAATGACAACAAGAATGTCTACACTCTGCTACAGTGCCATCAAAACTTGTGAGGGGAATCAGCGTTAGTACTGAAAATTCTGGGGAATATTTGCACTTCAGGACAAATATAGGAAAAATATGAGGCTGTGGTATGATACATACCTGAGAACATGCACAGTGCAATGGGAGTTCACCTGGGACCTTGAGTCTTTCCAGCTAGCAGGTTCTCAAAGAGGATAGAGCCCAAGACGGCTCTAGGTCATCAGGTTAACAACAGGTGTTTACAGAGGTAACCTACCTGAGTCAGTGCAGGAGAAGGACACCAGCTGCCCTGTGCTATCACCCAGCATGTTGGTGCTCCAGACGAGTCAGAGCACAGGGCTGCTGAGACAACCTGCTCGCATGAGGAAGGGCAAGGGGAGAGCGGCTGTCAGGATCTCTGCCCGGAGGGAGAGCCGCTTCTCTCGCACGTGCTCGCTAGGCCGTGGCTAAGTGATGGTTCTGTGTCAAGTTTAATCGCCTGGCTGGAAGCTGCCCTCTGAAGGGAAAGGCAGGGCTTTCCGAATGGCTCAGCATCAGCAGCAGTGAGCTGACAGTGACTGAGCCCCTCCCACTGCACCAGCATGAGGGAGGTGAGTGTGAGAACAAGATTCTGGCAGGCCCAGGAGAAGAAAGCAATGAGAAGGGTAAGTAATTCTGAACTGACTTTTTAAACAATTTTAAAAAATACAACAGCAACAACCAGAAAACCTCCACAGACAGAACTCTCTCTGTTATTTTGTTATGTTATTTTTAAGTGGGTCATACATCACTACAGTTCACAAAACAGAGGAAATTAAACTAACACGTGTGACACCACAAAAATATAGTGTTTAAATTGGCCTAAGAAGTCAGCTTTGTGCTCTAATGAAATGAACCAATCTTATTGTGAAATACTGGAATATAATTTTGGAAACCACCCAGGCTTATTCTCCCGAAGCATCTCGGAGGCACAGGATTACATCCTGCTCACACGGACAACTTGGAGACACCCATTTACCCAGGTAACATGGGAGGTGGGAGGAAATGGAGGCTTCTGGAGAAAAAACAAACAGAACATGCAAACTCCACAGGGAAAAGAAGAAGAGTCAAGAATAACACCCAAGAGCTGTGATGCAGCAGTACTAACTGCCACACAACTAGTTTGGCAGCTTTTTTCAGTAAAATAAGATTGAGCCAAAAAAACAAGGTAAATGATAGTTAAGGACATACCTTGTCTAGAATTAAAATGTGATTAGTTCCACTCAGATCTATCATATAAAGTTCCCATGCTACTCCAAAAATGTGTTTTATCATGACATTAGCACAAAGTTCTAATATACTGTAGTAATGCTGTGTCTTTTGTCCTGTGAGAATCCTCTCTAACTGTACATTTTTATCTTCATAGCTTTATTGTATTCATATTTCATTCAAAAAAATAGAATAAATAGAAAGAATAGTTTCCAATCACATGAAGCTGCAGTATACACAATTTTCAAGTGCCCAGGAGGGAAAGAGATTTGGGTTCGCAAGTGAAGATTTTTAGTAAAGTGAGTAAAAGAGACAGAGCTCAGTGTTCTGGTGAAGGAATGCATCAGGGAGTGCACTAACTCTCCTGCAAGGCACAGTGGAGCTCACAGAGGGTCAGCTAGAGCCTGGCTCTGACAGGTGGGTAAAGTTTATAAATATCCAAAGCCACTGCATTTTGACCACATAAACAAGGTCACATAAAAGTAATACATCATTATTAAGGGAGCTTTCATATTCATAGGTTTGACATCTTTCCCCCCTTTAAAACCAATATAAATGGACACGCGTAAGAGAGCAAACTGGGTTTTATTTAAACCATTTTACTGATAAATGACTGAGAGAGACGTATGTCTTTTTCTTGGATGACAGTCCATGTGTTTGCAAAAATTGTGTGCTAAAAAGTCATACATGGTACTTAACATTTAATAGCAAGAGAATCCATGCTTTAATATAGACACTCAAATCACAAAGAAATCAGGCCAAATGCCCTTTGCCATTTCAATAAAAATATGAAATCCTTTTTTTTACATGTTACAGTTTTGTTTGCTTTTTATAATATAAAAACGTTTAATACTGATTGGGAAACACTGAATTTAATTTACAAAACAATAATAAAATAAAATAAAACAGTACAGTCATAGCTGGGTCATCTTGGCTAACACAAACAGCTAATGATCTATGTTTCTGAGGAAATACTGCTTGGTGTTCAAAATCTCCCTAAAGCACATCAGGTCTTCTTGGTCATTGTCTTAGTTTTCTTCCACACTTAGGAAATTGCTAAAAGTTCAGTGAACTGTCTGCAAGAAACTTCAGACTCCCTTGTTTCAAGGCTAGTCTTGCTCTGAAAAAATAATGACCAGTTTCACACGTTTAAGCAGCCTTTCAGCTCATTATCTTCTGGTTTAAAACTTGCAACTGTTCCAAAGCAATAGTGAATAACAAAATGAAGCAGAGATCATTCAAAAGGTCTCAGCATTTAGAAGATGGGAAGAACCTCCCTGGGGAGAGGAACTTGTAGCCGTTCCCAGAGGGCAGTCTGATGGGGCGCCCACCTGGACTGCTGCTAGTGGAGGCAGAGGGAGATGGGGCCACCCTGTTTGTTTCGGGCCGTTTGTGCCCGTTGGGGGGGTTCCTGGCCTGCAGCTCCACCTGCTGCACGCCCAGCTCCTTGAGTTCGAGGTTGTCGACCCCTTTCTCCGCCTTGCCGTGGCGTGGCGAGAGGTTGAGCAGGCTGAGGACATCCCTCTTGGTGGTGCCGATGTTCCCCCGCAGAGCTCTCACCGGCCCCGGGGGGTGCGGAGACGTGTTAGTCCAGAATGTCTTGAGGTTGTGGATGGCCTGGACTTTCTCATCGATGGCGGCCAGCTTCAGCCTGTCCAGGTCTGGGGCATCAGCCGGGCTGGAGCGGGCTGAGCCGGTGGAGGAGTACGAGAGGGCAGGCGAGGGGTTGCTCCCAGCTGGAGACTGGTGACCTGAGCTTGGGGACATGTTGCTGGGTGACCTGGATATGTGACCACTGTATGGGGAGCTGGGGTACTTCAGCTTGAACTGGGCCAGGGAGCCATGGGTGTCAAGAGTGGGTGAGGGGTGGGCACTCTGCTGGTCTTTTAGAGAGGTCTCAGAGGTGGCCGGGCTGTTGTATCCTGAGCTGACCTTTTGCAGGGAGGAGGTCCGGGAAGGAGGCTTAGGCCTCACTGTCATGGGGGATGACTGGCTCTTGAGGCTAGCGCTGTGTGGGCGACTGAACGCGCTGGTCTCGGAAGATCTGAAGGCAGAGCCACCAGTGGGGGTAGAGGCCCCTCCGGCAGGTTCACTGGCAGAGCTAGCTTGGCTGCCACTCCTCTGCAAGCACTCCACTGCAATAAGGTGGCTCTGGGTCTCCTCCAGGATCTTCTGGGCGAGTTCTTGTGGGTCCAGTTTGGTGGTCTTTTCCTCCTGGGACTTTACGGTGCTATCTGTTTCTGTGCTGGACTGATCTGACTCTCCTGTGTCTGAGCTAGTGACCTTGCTCACCTTCTGGAAGGGGGAATTTGGGCTGGGGATAAGGGTCATTTTGATGGGAGAAGTGGGAGTACTAATGCTGCCCCGAGAAGACACTGACGCCCCGTAGCAGGCCTCCGAATTTCGCACCCCGCCTCTCATGGGCTTGTGGCCTGGTGGGAGGGGCAATGAGTCCGAGTTCCCGGCCAGTGGCTCACTGCTGATGATGGAGAACCCCTCGTACTCCTCGTCGTCTTTCCCAGCAGACACCCCACCATGCGGGGAGGATCGGCTGCGTGGCACCGAGGCCTTGTGAGGGTAGAGGCCCCGGTGGCGCTCCAGGTCCTGCCGGGCCCTGTGGCTCATGTAGTCAGATGTGCTCTCAGACTTGGAGACAAAGCTCATGGAGGATGCGATGGAGCTCAGGCTGTACACGGAGATGGCATCGGAGGCCAGGCTGTCTGGGCAGGGGGGGGAGAAGGGTGGGTTAGGGTAACCCAGGGGCAGTGGGTTAGAGACAGACTGGGCCGAGGCCAGGGACTCCAGGGAAGATGAGCTGTCCAGACTAAGGCGCTTCGGCAGCTCTGTGGAATCTGGGAGAGAGAGAGAGAGAGAGAGAAGAGATTGAAACCCTTAAGCAAAACAGGATATGGTTCTTTCATTGGCAGGGTTATGGAATGTCTTGAGGTTATATAAATTTGCTCCGTCAAAATAAAAATGTGTGTTGTCCCTTCTCTTATGTGTACGCATGGACATGTATTAAACAATCACTAAATAAAAGTGAATGTACAACTAATTTATTTCAGAAATTGAATAACAACTAAGGACAGAATTGTGTGTTTGGGTAGGCCAGAAGGTTGGGATTCAGGTAATGATGTATGTACTGTATCAGCCATAAATCAGACAGAGGCAAAGCAAACAATGGAAGAAAGAACTAACATATGAGGAGAAAAATGTAATTACTTGTTGGGCAAAAGCTTTGTAAAAACGCTGGATAAATGCTTTAATGGAAAAACTGTAGTGCAATTATCCCTAAAATATTATCCTAAAAAATCGCAAGAGTATGAAAATACGAGCTACCGAAGAGTGCCAGCAGGGATTGGAGTGCAAAGTGCATGGTTCTTCGGTTGGCTTGCTTCCCCGTCTTCAGAACTACTTCTTCCTGTCCCACCTCACAGAGGTCAAAGCCTGCAGAAGCAGAATGAACATGAAGAACATCAGACAATGCAAAACAGGATCGTTGTGTGTCTAATGATTCCATAGTGATTTGTTTCCACATAACTTGAACTTTCCCAGTTCAAGTCAACAGTAAAAACTGAAACCTATTCATTTCTATGCTCTGTTGTCAACTGCAATTTACTCTGAAGGGATATGACAGGGGTTTATGCTCCTCATGTAAATGAGAAACCAACAATACTCTACACTTTACTGCAGCAGAGAAAAAAAGCTTTGAAAAGCACTCTGAATACAGTGTGTGGTATAAAACAGTACATATGGAATAAATGTGAAATGACTTTTATTTCATTGAAAGCATCACATCGCTCCTGTGTAAGCAATTACATTCATCATCTGTAGTAGTCATTTATTGGAGACTAATGTTGTTGCCAAATTAAAATCCACAGTCTCATTTCTCTAGTTATGTGAGCTGGACCTCACCTCACTCAGTCTACAAAATGGGTTTACTGAACCACCATCCAAAATCAACATTTCACTCTGGAAGCTACGCAGTCAAACCCAATATTTGCAGAGAAGAGAAAGGCTTCTGTTTCATTTCAAGCATGAAAATTATAATACCCATAATGAAAGCAGAAAGGATCAGATATTCATCCTGACTGTTAAATCTGCTGGCTTATGTATTTATCAACAGCTCAGTTCACTGCCTAGAAGCCAGGCACAGATGTGTGTGTATCCCCTTTGGGCTGAAGTGTGGTTTGCACAGTGGCAGATGAGACAAGACTTCTCCACATGTCTCTCACACTCCAACGCGAGCTGGCATGTGCCCCAACAGCACAGTCTCCGTGCAGCCACACTATCACACAGGCTTCTGTCACAAGCGCCTCACTGGCTCAGCGGAACGCCTCTTACAGCCATCTGTCCGGGAAACACACACAGCCAAACCTTTTCCACTGATGTCTCTTAAAACTGTTTAAAAACTGAAACCCAGCTGTCACTGTATGTATTTGCATCTACTGCAGCCTACACAGCTTAAGAGTGTGAGGGAGCTCGTGAAGCGAGTATTCTCTGAATATTCTCCCCTTTAGGCATGTTTTAGCTAGTCAGATATCTGCGACTTCAATATGAGGCTGAAACTTCTTAATCACAAGTTGAGATTTCCCGCCCTTGCTTTCATTTTCAGTTTGTGCATTGTTTTCAGCATAGAGTCAGTTCATTTACAATGGGAGAATCATCAACTGGCATCAAATCTTTACAAGAAAGGCTGTCATATGTTCACTGGCAGCGGACATGATTGTCAACTGCAATCCTCTGCACACAGTGTATGATATCTCTTCTTAATTTCTATATGTATTTATGTATATGTATATATTTATGTATATTATACTTCTATATTATATCTATTTAATCTGTATTTATGCTATATGAGAGTTTATATGAGGGGCAGCACAGTGATGCAATGGATGAAACCAGCGCTGGGGTCCTGGGTTCAATTACTTGGGGTGCTGTCTGCGTGCAGTTTGTATGTTCTCCCTTGTTCGTGGGGTCCCCCCACAGTCCGAAAACATATTGGTAGATTAAGTTGGTTCTGGGAAAACTGGCTCTGGTGTGAATGTGTGCGTCTGCATCTTTTTTGTCCTGCAATGGACTGGTATCCCATCCGGGGAGTACCCTGCCTCGTACCCGTTACATGCCAGGATAGGCACTGGCTCCTCTGTGGCCCTTGAATTGGAAGAAGTGGTAGAAAATGGATTGATGGATGGATTGAATAGCTTACATGGCATGTTGTGAATACACTACCTTACATATACACTCAACGCTAAGAAATTATCACACAGTGCCTTGCAAAATAATTCAGATTCTTCCTATGGTGTCTCATTTTGAAAAATACAAAATGATGCATGCTCATTTTTATTATATTCAAAGCCTGAATGCTAAAACTGAAGACCTTAAGGGTGAACTTAAAATCTGGAAGAAACACCTTTGGTGGGAACAATTATAGTTACAAGTCTGTTTGGGTAAATCTCTGCAAAATTTACACCATGACTTAGAGGTATTTTTTCAAGATAAAAATCTCTCAGGTTGCTCGGGAATGTCTTATGGACATTTTCCCACTGATTCTCAATAGCACCTTTGACTGCTCTACTCAAGGACATTCCCTTTTTATTCTAAGCCACTGAGTGCTGGGAAAGAAGGACTAACAACCACTATTTATACAGAGGCGAGAAAGTATAAAAGTCAAACTTTCTTTTCTCGAAAGCTTTTGTCTTTCGAGATTAAAGCAGCCATTCAGTGCATCTGCCTTTGGTGTTAGCAGTGGGGCAAGTTTCACAGTTGTCAGTTGCGCCTTGCCGCTGTTCACAGGCATAACACAGTAACATCAGCCACTGTACTCTCTGGAACGTGGGTGAAGCATGACTGGTTTCGCTCAGTAAGAAAACCTTGAATTAATATAATTGGAATCATTTATTTATGGTGAGGAGCAAAACTGTGATGTAACAGGTACTGTCCTTCAGATGTGATGTAAACTAAGGTCCTGATTACTTACATATTAAAGATCCTGTGGTGCCTTTTGAACTTTAGCATAAGTGGTGGCTGAATTCTACACTGGGTTTATACAGTATGGTCTACCTGGGCTTCCCCCTTAGTTAGATTCTTGAACCAATTGCTCTCTTCTCTACCTTGGCTCTGCTGGTACATAATGGCGGCCTAGCGTCACCCAGGTGGGAGCTGCACTTCAATGTTGCCCTCTTATACTGTATGTAAAGTACTCTGAAATGAACAGTGCTCTATGAATTCAAGGAATTATTGTTATTTAAAGAAAGTCCCTGAGGAGACCATGCGAGTTATCCCTATGTCTACAGCCCTGAGACCTAGACACACTGCGGAGACAGAGCAGCTGCACAAAGGAGGTTAAATAAGAGGTGATGCTGTCTGCTCAGAGGGAGAGAAAAATGTCAGAGCCAATTTTCTACTTGTCTCAAACAATTGAGGACTTGATAAGCTCTTTTTGAAGGGCCATCATTCTAATAACTTGGCTCCATTTAGACTGAGGTGGACTTGGTCACCCTGGGCTTTGTTTCAGTATGTGTACGGCTCTGTCAGATTTATTCTCCTCTCTCTGGGAAGGTGGCCACACAAAGCCAGTCTCTTCACATTTGCTCTGACAGAAATTTGGTTGAGTGTGATTATGGCATGTTGAGGGTAAGCTCCCTCCAGCGGTTCCTTGTGCTGCATCTCCCAGATAGCAGTCACTGTACATGAAACATTATCTGAAACTTTTCAGGTGGCTTTAGCATTATAAATCCCAAGTCAAAGTGGGAAATAAAAGTGTTTCCTACATTATTTTTTCATTTCTGTTCAAGGTTTAGCAGAGTCCACATTGCTATGTGGAGGACTAAAGATGTCAGATATTAGTTTTGGAGGACTGCCAGTTTACAGTTTTTAACTGTACATCCATAAAAAAAATAAAGACGGGTTTCACTTCCACTTAATTATTTTTCTTTAATTATCACTTGTTCTTTGGGGCAATAAACCATGAAATAGGGTGTATCAAATGTTTCTAGACCTAAGAAAAGGTGGCAGATGATGGTATTTTTAGCTCAAAACTCACTTCCTTTGATTGTGCTTTTCCCTGGCAGTAAAGTTTAAGTGTAAGATGTTCTATTCAGTTTCACAGCGTGAAAGGCAGCAGTCAAGTACACAAAAACACAGCGCCGTGGCCCAGGGTCTCAAAGCCTCGCTCAGTCACCCAGATTGTTTCAAAACTATTTTCTTTCTAAAGCACAACTGATAAATCAAGAATCTAGAAATGAACCATTTTTCGCCCAGTACAAATAACCCCTTTGGACCAACTGTGTTGCTTTCACTTTGAAGACTGTGAATAGGTCTTTATTCCTTGCTAGTGTAGGAAAGACATCAATGCCACACTAGAATTAATTTAAAAAATTAAAAATACAAGTGCTGATACATAAAGCTGCAAGCCTTTAAACAGGAGCAGAGCAGAGCTGTATGGAAGGAAACTCACCCAGAGCAGCCAGGAACTCATGGCAACCAGGAAGCCTCCAGAGCTGTACGCTGATGGACACTTGGATTGGAGTGGAAGAGAAATCATGCTCCTTTTCCCCCGTCTGGAGTTGCACCAGGACCTGATGGAGCTGATGAGAGAGAGGGAGAGAATGGAATTGCCTTGTCCACTCTGGACTTTTTGTGTTAGAGAGTTACACAGGTACTGTTTGATACATCATGAGGCCGAGAGAAACATCCCCACAGTAGCTGGTAGCTACATCTTTGAATGAATCAACCAACATGATAAAAAGAAGTCCCTTTTTTGTAATTAAAGTTGAAATAAAGTAATAATGTACTTTACCACTATCTTACTCCTTGAAATGACATTATTTTTTAACACATCTGGCGAAACTGTGTAAAATTATAATGATAGCCACTTAAAGTGATAAAATATGCTAGTACACTATTATTAGATTTCACTTACACTTTTATCCCGAGTCACTTATATTTGTACCAATTTTACTGAAGCAATCTGAGTGTAGTACCCTGCTCAAGTGTACACAGAGATAGCAATGCCTCATCTAGGATTTGAACCCACAACCTTCCAGGTGTTTAGCCCCAAACATACTTTGACCGAAGTACTGAACAGTACAAACCAGGTTCAAAGGCTTAAAGCTTTCTTTGCCGTGCAGGGTGCTGATATTTAGTTTCCCTTCAGACTGAACAGCCATGAATTTGTGCTAATCTTGTTTTTTTAACTTGGCCTGTTGCAATGCCTTATTAAAATAAATCCATGTTTTCCTTACTGTGGAGTTCAAATAGTAACAGTCTAGTAAGGAGCAAATTCTTAGGTCTGAAATTCCCTGATAACTGGATTTCTACATGTATGCCACAAAGAACTGTAACAATTTAAATTGGATTAAGTGCCTGCATTTGGATTTGTATTGCACAGATTCCCTATATTATTATAATGGAAGAAGATTTAATAACAATTTTCATGTTCCATTCAGTTCTGGTCATAAGGCTTGCACATTACATAGAAAAACAATGCCCCACTTTTCTCAAGAGTATAGGTCAAGAAGAACGGCCGCTGATCGTAATGAAAAACTAAAACACGCTGCTTGGAAATTATTAGATTCTCTACAATACTTGAATTCCAAATTATGAACATTTTGTACCTTTAATAATATTAGAAAAACTACTGTAAACTATTCATTCATAAATGAAGACAACTTCTAAAAATGAAATAATGGAAAAGCATTTCTGTTGTGTTTAGCATTGTCCTGCTTGGTTTGATGGACAACTTATCGGCCCATTACGACGAACCAAGATGTTGCTGCACAGGCAGTGTCACTGGAGATAGTGGAGAGGTGTTAATGTATGGATCACTGGGACTTAATGGTTTAAAGACCTATAATGGTATAATGGTATAAAGTCTGTATACCCCAGACAGATGGTAATTTGCAGTAACTGTTACATTTGGGTTTGTCTTTCCAACTCTTCTCATTCCCACTCAAACCTGTTACTAATCTGTGTCAATATTCCATGCTGAAACTCCAATTAGATGGTTATGCTATTTACTGATGTATTAGTAACAGAATGCTGCTGCTAATATTTTCCATGAAGCTTCCAGACCTGGGTTCAGAAGCAAAGGGCAACAAAGAACATAAGATTACTGACAGGAAGCTGTTTGGTTTGTCTAGGTCATTTGGTTAGTAGCAAATTGATGCGAGGATCTCAACAAAAACTGATGTAGTAATACTATTCCAAGCCTTGTAGTCAATATTAAGAGAACTGTAGCTAAACGTGAATGCTGCTTAAGTTTTTAAAGCTTACTTAATACCAGGAAGGGTCAGTTTTAAGGAATTAAGGCATTCATTACCAGGCATGTAATATAAATAGTAAATTAGGACAGTTTTCTTGGCAACATCCATGATTGGCCTCTTCAAAGTCTGTGATGAAGGAAAGTCAGTGTAGTTTTAGTAAAAGAAGACTTACCATTCCCACCATATTTTTAACAGCCTTCAGACAGCAGGTTAGGAGAAAGAAAAAGGAGAAAGTTTTTAGTTTCATGCTCAGGTTATTCACAGCCAAGTATTAGCAAACAGGCAACAGGGAAGCTGAAATGAGAGAAAATCTGCACCAAGCTGTAATGTAAAGACATTCTTCAGGTTATATATATGTGGTATACGGGGTAGGCTTTTATTTGTACTGTCCACAAAGCACTGTGATAAAACATTGGCCTTGTTGTCAGAATAATTCTCTCTGGTTGTGAAACGCATTCAGAAAGACCCCAAAGTGTTTTACTGAAAGGAAGGGGAAGCTCTTTGTTCACCCCTGAAGCTGAGCACACGCCTGCATGGGGTCAGCCCATTCTCCTGGACTCACCAGGTTCTGACCCCCCTCCTCGCCCAGGATCTTTGCTCTCTCTCCTGCTCCTACCCTGCCCCACCGCCCCTTCTACATGAGCTCTTCCTCCCTAACCTGTCCAGTTCAGGTCCAAAGCTATTTGCTCTCTCACCTGCTCATTCACAGCAGCCTATTCTGTTGTCTTGACTCTGTATATTCGTCTGCATTTGAATGACATTTGTATTTGAATGGGTTTGCATTTGCTCTGCATGTCCTCTATCACCAAGCAAATAAAAATAAATGAGATGGAGGTCCTAACTAGGACTAGCCACCTCAGAGTTGTACAAACTCCAGTGTCCACTTTGGTTTTGCAAATTTAGTTGGTGAAGCACTGTCTGTGCAGAATGGCTGCTGTGTGTCAAACAGGTGGGTGCTGTACTTCAGTATTGGGTGCAAAAGGTTTCCTCTTAAGGAGAGCATATACATATGTCCATATGTAAAGCACTTCAGGATCTTTGGGATGAAAAGCGTAATATAAATGAAGGGAATTCTTCATATTATTATACAGAAGGCAACAGTGATTGTGGATGACATTTCATAGTGTAAAAGTGTAAAATTTAAATCCATTTTTACTATGCATCATGTGAAATGTATACTGTGTATTTTATTGTTCTTTGTTTTTAAATACAGTGCCAAAAGCCCTGTAGCAAGGGGGCTCGAGAGAACACTATTATTCCTCTGGAGTGTAACCCCTACATTCACTTACTCTTCTAGAAAGTATACTCTGCAAACAACACAGTTCATGCATCAGATAGAGAACTGGTATACTGTAGCTCTTGCTGGTGGTGTCAGAAGCTCACTGGTGCCCAGTGTGTCTACAATACATCTAACTGAAGGTCTACCCAGTTTGGAAAGTTCCCAAAGAATTAGTCACCATCACAATTCAACGAAGACCTAAAGGCCCAGCCCATGTTCTGCACATTGATCTTTCACAGACAAGTGCTGGTACCCTTTGTAATCCCCAGGGTGAAAAGGACAAGCTAGCGTAGTCCATGAAGGTTCTCATTTTTAGTGTTTAGTGCCCCATTTGTTGTAATGGAACTCTACATCATGGTGCTGCCAGCCACAAACTATATACTTTCATACAGTATAACCTACATTATTTATTTCAATATTAATTGCTGTGTATATCTAAGTACTGACTAAGTAACTTCGCCCATAGTTTTTTTTTTACCTGTCAAATTTCCTGTAGAGAAGATATCATAAAACGACTATAATTACACTACTGTAAAGAACAGGCACCTGAACTTTCTGGATAAAGCTACAGAACACAATAGGAGCTGTAATTACTATAAATATTTCAATACACTATAATACTTCTATGTTTAACTCAAGGCACACTAAATCCGTGTTGATTGATTAAGTTTTTTTAATGCTCTTAAAATGTACTATGACAACTGCAGTTATAAACAATATATTCTTCCATGACATCCCCTTCACAAAAATTACTTTAGTAACTACTGCGGTATTTCTTTCTTTGAGCAAACCCCACCTTGGCCCCAAGCAGCCATAGCTTACAGAAAAGAATCACTGGACTGGGGCCAGAAGAAAGAGATGCCTCCTTTTGCTCTACCAACCACTAAAGCCCCTGTGTTTGTCCCCTCAGAATAGCATTTTTTTAAGCATTAAGAAGGACAAATGGAGCTCTGTCTCAGACAATGGATGAGATCAGGCTTGAAGACTCTATGGCCGCTAGCAGTGTCTAATATAAGACAGCACAAGAGACGTTTGTTGTTTGGACAGTGGTGCTGCACACACAGAAGGGCCCTGAGGCTGGTAACACAGTGCAAACCTCAAAGTTCACAGGCTGAGACATTTTACTTGACTACTTGAAAGAGGAACTGGATAATGTCTGAAAAAAATGAAAAAGACCTATCGGATTGTTCTTATTTTAACACACATGCAAATCACACATCCTGCATGGATTCTGTGCCCAAACCCCCAGACATTCCTGGATGATCTTCGTGGGACTTGAGAGGAATCCTAACAGACACATTTGACAGGAAGGTTTTCTGGGAATCCTTCTCACTTGAAGGGACCTGTAAGGACTGTGGTGTCAAGATCCTACAGGAGTCCTGTTTACGGTATCTCATGCACTTTTCTGCATGACATTTCCCTGCATGACAATGTGTACTCAGGGTGGGGGCACATACCCGGTTGATGAGCTGTTCTCCTGTTTCGGAGGCTGTGATCAGCTTGCACAGGGCCTGGAGGGCAGGATGGGGCAAGCCTGAAGAAGAACAGCAACAGGGCGGGATTTTAGTCAACACTTCTAGCCACAATATTTCCCAGGTGCAAGAAGAAGGTTAATAGCAGGGATTAGCCAGGTGTGATTTCTATTTGATATGTATGAAACATGTCTTCTGTAAACATATTTTAGTTTCAATGAGTGCGATCCAAGGATTCTCATAATCTTTCATGTGCAAATGTCAGAGGCATTCCTGAAACTATAAAACACTGAAACAAGAGAAATCCCGAATGCTCGATAGAGAGATGAAGTCAGAATAAATACGTTGCTGATCTCCAGAGACTGGAGTCTGACACACTTGCCATGAACAGTTGAAATGTACAAAATTACACTTTGTGCCAAAGGTGTCATGAAAGTAGCCAGATCTGTTCTGGGTTGTTGGAGAGTTCAGTATTAATAAGATATAATCTACAAATGCTATCCCCCCTCCGTCCCCCGTCCCCCGTCCCCCTTGACACTGTGCAATGGTTTTGTGAAGAATGGAAAATCTATTTTCTAACTGCTGCCGGAGTTTTTTCTCCCCACTCTTGCGTCCATGCCCCTGCCCCAGGCCGGAGAGCCGCCCCGCCCCGCTCACCTAGCAGGGACTGGAGCGTGGTGCTGCACTGCTGCAGGCGGTCCCCGGGGTCGGAGGTGGGGAAGAAGACGGCCGCGGGCAGGCCGGTCCCCGCGGAGTCCAGGCGGAAGCCCACGGCGGTGAGCAGGGCCTGCCAGCCCGGGACGCCGCCCACCTTGTTCTCCACGCTCTGCTGGGAGGTGTACATGGAGTTGCGCTGGCCGTTCTGGATGCGCTGGAGAGACTTCTCCACCTGGGGAAGAGACAGCGCCAGTGAGCTGAAGGCAGTGGAGCTCAAGCCCCATGCTGCAGGACCTACAGTCAGTGCTTCCGGCACAGAGCAGGAGAATTTACTCTCGGTCACTCTAATTGAACTATCAGGGTGATAATTTCCCCCTGCTCTCAAGTTCTTGTTTTTTTCAAAAACACTCTGATGTAAGTTGTCTATAAAACATGACTCTCTTTGTTCTCTCCTCAATTTGCTTTAGTGATTCCTCCCTTTATTTTATTGAACACGTTTATCTAACATAAACTCAAATGTGAACATTGCATATCAGTAATAGAAGTGAAGTACTTTCCCCAAGGACACAACATCAGTTGTCTGACCAGGGTGTACCTGGATAGAAGGCCGAAATCTTCTGATTACGACAACAGGATCCTTATTTGACACTGCTGTCGACATTACTGGCTGAACATCTCCTAATCGATGACCAGTTAGTGATGTCCAGACACAGGTGGGACATTCACTGTACTGTATCTACTTGAGAACCGATTTTTAGAAAAAAGGTCTTAACAAGTAAGTAGGGATCAATTAACCTCAGGAATGCAATTAAACGCTCAAATGCAGTTTAAGACTACAAGTGAAGGTTACAACACGACCAGAATTGCAAACTCCAATTTAGAGCACTATGGAGGTGCTGGCACAGCTCAGAAAATGTACAGTGATGTGTGCTTTAATGTGACAGTGTATGTGCTTGATCAATTTGTGTCTATTTTAATTTCTGTTCATTAAGTGGGCATTCTTGCGTACATGTGTGTTTGTGTCAAAACGTAAACTCTTCTGTATTCCATACAGGCTCCTTTGGACAGACACATGCAGGCCCTAAAACAGTTTCACAACAACTGTCCTTCTGATTCAGCCAAAGGCAAAACAATCCGGAGATCAGAAAAAAAATGTGTATTTAATGAGAAAAAATAAGCATACTTGACCTCCTGCAAGTAATAATACTTTTTTAATTGTGGAGAACGCTGACTTACACAGAACAACAATTATGAACATCACAAAGCCAGAACTGAATATTGACTTCATCCCCGTATTTCAAGAAAAATAAAACCTCAAAATACATTTAGGTATTGGAAATGATGAAGACACACACTGGGGGACATGAGTCCTGTGTGAAAAGGCCTCCTTCCATACAGCTGTGGCTCTGTGATACACATGGCAGGGCTTTCACACAGATAGACACAGCGCTTGGTGACAACGCATGGGCACCTGGCCAGCCACTGGCAGCACCATCCAGCCTGGCAAAGCTCTGCCACTTCTCCGCGGCTGTGTAGCGATTCGAGCCCGGATTCCTACCCGTTATTCTCTCACTGTTGCTCTGATACAGCACAGGGCACTTACCAGGTGAAGCAGCACTCTCAGCGCGTCGCGGGCTCGTTCAGGGTGCTGCAGGATCTCTGTCAGGGCTTGTCCAATCAGGGAAGAGGGGCTGTTCAGCTTCACATCGCTGCCTATCAGCATGAACCCTGAGGAGCCAGAGGCAGACGGATGGACTCAGCATCATCGTCTAGCACTTCACAGCCACACACAGAACTATTCTCTTTAAAGTGCACACATTCATTGTCTGGAGAATCATTGGCTCTCTGTGTAATGCTTTGAAAATCCGTGCATTTTTCCAGCCCAGCTCCTTATATTTTTTACTTGGTCCACCTATCAAGGTCTTCCGGGCATTTTTTGCACGTATTAAAACATGTGCTGCCTCTGCTGTAATCCTCTGAATGTCTGCACATCTGCAGCTAACTACAGTATAAAACTGATGTGAACTGCCCCAAACTAAAATAAACTGAGTCCAAGTTGAGCATCAAAATCTATTTGGTTTCCTGATAAGAAAAGCAGTTATTTAGAACACCATGACCTGGACAAAAGTAACTAGGAATAGGAAAGGACTAAAGTAAGAGAATGAGGCAGATTAGGTTAAGGTCAATTCAAAGCTAAATATTTCTGCTTTACAGGGCCTGTTTATGTAAAACATGCAGATAGGGGTATTTTCTGCATTACAAAATTAGCACTGAGAAAACCATAAATATCAAAATAACTTGTAAGTAAATTGTAAGTTAAAGTTCTATCAAATGTTACTGCTGAAATTTCCCCTTGTAATAGAAACAATGATTGTCTGCCTTGGGTAGCAAACTGCAGACACAACTGTGACCCCAGTGAACTAGATCTGCATGAAACCAATCACAGGAATAACCTGTAGCAGAAGTAGCAAAATGATCAGGTAGAGTTTAGGCATCGATTGTCTTGTGGATCAGCTGCCAGGTTATTCCAGTAATATAATCAAGTGAGATATTGACACAAAATCTTCTTCAGTAGATTAGGACACTAACCTGAAAACCCAGTATATTGAAAGTAACATTTCTCATCTTGTCATTTGAGGCAGTGTTTTTCATCCCTCCCACCTCCCTCCAGGGTCATTCTAGAACATCCTGAGCATGACTGGCACAGGTGTCAGGCAGCTCGAGAGCGACCTCTCCCTGTCTCACAGTGCACTGACGCTGATGGGGGGGGGGCCTGCTGTGTCCCCGAGTCGGGATGGCGTTACCTGCCCAGTTGGAGGGGTGGGAGAACTGCTTGCTGCTCTGCACTGTCTTCATGGCCTCGGCCAGGGCGGCGCTGGCCTTCATGCCGTTGAGCAGGGCTGAGTAGAAGGCGTGGACGAACATCTTGGAGGCGGCCACGGGCACGGGCCACAGGGACACCAGGACGCAGTGGGCTCCCGCCGCCAGGAAGGCCCGGGTCAGGCCGATGACCCCGTCGGCGGTCACCTTGCTGTTGGACTCCTGGTAGGACCCGAGCACCACCAGCTTGACGGGCAGCCGGAGGTCCAGGATGTCGGCGGCGGTGAGCAGGAACTCCTGCAGGGGAGGGCTGTCGCTGATGCTCTCCACGTCGCTGGCGTCGTCCTGCATGCGCAGCGACTCCGGGATGGTGTAGCTGTTCCCGAAGCTCTTCCCGCCTCCGCTGCCGCCCCCGGGGGGCCCCTCGGCGTTTGGGGTGAGCACCAGGGCGGCCAGCTTCCAGGAGATGTGCGTGGCGAAGTGCACGCACTCGGCCTGGCTCAGCGCGCTCATCACCCGCTCTTTGGTGGCCGCCGCCCCCGCCAGCGGTTGGCAGCCCAGCAGCTCGGACACCATGTAGGCCTCCTCCTCGGCAGAGGGCATGGGCCCCCACAGCCAGCGGTCCATCACGGAGGAGGGCAGCCGCGGGTTCCCAACCACCGCCGCCATGGAGGTGGAGCCGGAGTAGGCTGGCATGGCCTTCCTGGGGTGAGCCTGCGGGCACAGGCAGATGGACACAGGAAAGACATGAGCCTTAGTGACCACTCTACACCCAGAAGGCACATCAGGGCCTTCTCATAGATAAGAACTATTAAAAGAGGTGGTTTAAATCCCAAAAAGATTTACCCTCAAGGGTAAAGGAAAGAAAACTGGAATCTGGAATACTGAGAACCAAATGAGAACCGGAAGCAGGGAAATCTCAAGGGTCTCCCGGCGCAGGCCTACCTTGGCGGCAGGGTTGAGGCCCTGGATAGAGGGGACAGCGATGAGGCTGAAGCGCTCGTACAGATACTCGTTGGAGGAGCTGCCCTTCAGCAGGGCGAAGGGGATGAGATACAGCTCCCCCTCCAGCACCAGGATCAGCTGTCTGTGGCGGCCCACCGGCCCACTGGAGTGCATCAATCCCTGTACGCACAAAACAACACACAGCAGTCAGCCACACACAGAGGAACAGTCAGGCTTATTAATATCCTTTAATAAACCTCACACCTGCTTGGGAGACATGAAGATCAAGTCAGCAGGCTTTATTGTCAGGCAGAGGACAGATGCATGCTTTACGGACAAATACCAGCTTTTTGACATGTTTTTTTTTTCTATCAATAATCAAGCACAGTATTTTTGTTTAGTTTTAGTTTAGTTTTGTAAGCTTTTATTAAGGATTTTAAAATAAGTTTGCAACCACATACGGAACACATAGCAAATCTAAGAGATCCCCCTTGTGGCCAATTTTCAGTACTTCAGTTCTCAGCAGTTCCTATTTCAACACATCAGAGATGAAAGACTACCAGGCCCATTCACATCTTTACATCCATCCATGTTTTCTATCTAACTTCTTTATCCCATACAGGGTCAGAGAGGAGACAGAGCCTATCCTGGCAAGCAACGCTTGCAAGGCAGGATACAACCTGGGCAGGATGCCATCGAAGGGCACTATGTTGGGTTTCTGCCAGACATATAGCTTTGCAATTAGACCAAAAAGTTCCACTATGCTGTGTTGCAAACTCCATTCAGAATCTAAAATGATTTGCTTCTTTAATGAAGCAGAAATGGCTGGTTTCCCCTTTATGGAGTGACTGGGGCATTGGTGACTCACAAACATTTTCTCTCATCTCACCTTTGACTACTGTAGTTCTGTCTAAGTCCCTGCTGGTCTCATGCTGACATCTCTAACCAATTTCTGTGCTTGCTCAGCTGTTCAGTTTGGGGTCTACTGAGTGGTACAATATAACTTCCATTTCTTAATGCTCAGTTTCTTCATATTCAATGAGATCTTGAGCATCTTTGATTTTTTTTAATATCCTTCTCCTGATCTGTACCTTTCCAAAACTATCTCTGTGTTGTCTGAAAGTTCTTTGAGCCTCGTGGCTGAATTGTTGCTTGAAATTCACTACCTGACTGGGTGTTTTTATAGATACAGGTGTGTTTAAACTAAAATCACGTGAACCACTATTATTGTACACACACAGTCACATTCAATTAATCATTTGAAAAATAGTTTTCTGCACATGAACTAATTTAGGTTTTTCACAGAAAGGAGTGAAAATATTTAAATTCAACATTTTACATTAAGCTTTCTTTTAAGTTTTAGTTCACATCTAACTTCTTTCAACCATAAAGTTTTAACATTAATTTAAAATATTCACTTCAGATACAGGCATACATAATTTTAATTAAATAAAATGGGATATCATTAGAAGTGGGTGAATAATTATTGCAAGGCTCTACAGTATATCTGGTTAAATAAAGAACTGCTGCAATTTATCTTTGTCTTTCAATTTAAGTGAAGTGAAGCTGTACTTGCAGTAATATTTTGTTCCACTAGGAGACACTACATACAGTAAAAAATGATTCTGTTTTTTTCAGTCCTTTTACCACCAGTAAACTGTCACAAATTATTTTCTTTTAAAAAACATTTGGATGACTGCTCTTCTATTTTAAGTTCTATATACGAAATTTAGGCCAAACTGTAAAAAATATCTTTACATCATTTCACACCACCGCTGTCTCTGGAGAGAGTATTTATTAAAGATTTACTGATGTTTAAATTTGGGATACTGTGATGATGAATACAAAAACTGACACTGACAATGATCATAACCTAGTATCATTTGATGTACATTTTCAATATGTGAATTAGGGCTTCTAATTTTAGAAAGGAAGACTATGAAGGAATGAGGCAGAGCTTACAAACAGTGAACTGGAACAAAAAGATTCAGAGGGAATAGATGAATGATGGTTTTACTGTAAGAACATTTTATTAAATCCTCCAGTTGAATTAATCCTAAAAACAATGAAGTCCAAGAACTGGGAATAACTGGTTTAAAGCAATTATTAAGAAAACAAATCCAAAATAATACAGCACTCTACAGACTGTATAAAAAGACTGAAAAATAATGTATTGAGCTTTAGATACAGCTGAAGAAAGACATTAAACATAAGGGATTTTTTCAGTACTAAAACAGTTCAAGACCTGTAACAGCAGGAATACATTCTTCACATGATGATATAGGATTAATAATATAAGACGATACAAATATAGTAAACATGCTACAAGCTCTGACAATATTTGGTAATTATAATAATTTACTGAGCTTCAGCATGGTCTAGGGCAGCTAGAAAACAGAAAATAACCAAGTTCTGATGGTATTTTTCAGATCATGCCTTCTGATCAGTTGGGGTATGTCAGTTCTTACTTTGAATCAGCACAGTACCCACAGTTTGAGAATACCAATCCATAAAAAATGGGGACTAAAAAACTGAACCTAGTAACCATTGTCCTACAGAACTATAATGATTACTAAAGAACATGATTACGAAAAAGAGCTTCAAGACGTTTCCTGGTCTCCTGGGGTTGTTGTGAACAGACACTTTAATGGAGTCTCATTGCCTATGCAATGACATTTGCATCTATGGTATATCTGTGATAAAATGACAAACACATGGATAAACTAAATAAGGACAACCGCTACACAGGGCCTTAGACCATCTGGACATTCACACTACACTGACGACTGAACAAGTGGAAAATTTCGACACTCTTTCTACTGAAGTTGAAAGGGTGAAAGTGCAAATGTATTCTGAATTCTGAGTTTATTCAGTATTTGAAGGAGTGGAATACTTTTTGTAGTGAGAGAAAAAATGTTTACTGCAAATCTAAAATATTCCAACCAATCTCAATACGAAAAAACAGAGAAAAAGTGAAACACATTTTGCAGTAAAACAAAACAAAAGTGGTGCTTTACACACAATAACTAGGTTGATTCTTTCTGGTGTTTTTTCTGTGGATCAAACAACAAGCTTTAACTGACATGACTTGTCTTGCAGACATGCATCACTGTGAGGGGCCATTGTGCTGTTTATCATACACCCGGGAACCAAGTTCTCCCTAATGTGAAATTAATTTCTTCTTAATTCTCTTATTATAGGCTGCTGGGAAGATAATTGCTAAAGCCAACAAGAAAGCTACCCTGGCTTTCCAGCGCAGTTTCAATGTTAATGTGCTGGTAAGCTGGGAGTCAATCTTACTCAAATATTCTTTTTCTAAACTATAGCAGATAAAATGCAGAAATGCCTGGAGGCCAAACTGGAAATTAGTTTCTGATATCTTTAGATACAATTTCAGATTTCTAAACTTCAGCTTTCTTGTTATTATAAAAGACACATTTACATTGTTTTATAAAATTATGAGTCTGTAAATTCCCAATCAAAGGTGAAGGAAATATAGTCTTGCATTCATATACTGTTTTTGAGGTAAGGGCGTTTCTCGGGGACCCAAAACAAAGGATTAAGGACCTTAAGAGAACAAATAAGGAAATTGTCTGTGTTGAATTCCTACATATGCTAATCTTGCCTCTAATGTAAATCACATGCATAGAATAAAAGCTCCTGTTCAAAGACGCAAATATACCACATCTGTATGGCAGACAGAGAATACACAAACATATTAGTCATCATGCTTCAGCAGCAGTAAACCTTCATACAGCAGGACTAGAATACTGCTATTCGTGGGATGACTATTCTTTTCCCTTGCTAAGATTTCCCTGGAAGAAAGAGATTTCACCAATTAATTTGCCATAAGGATTTTCTTGAGCCACGCCGAGTGATCGCATCTATAATTTGTGAACCACTCTGTGGACTTACCCCCTCCATGGGCGCGATGAGGAGGTCGTACAGGGCTCGGAGGGGGGGCTTGCCCAAGGAGCTGGCTCTGCGAGGCAGGGAAGAGGTCCCCTCCTTGGTTGGAGACATGGTGTTGCTGAAGAGGCTGGTCATGCTCTGACAGCTCCTGCACAAAGAACGGATGAGCCCATTGCTGATTTCAGGGAGTGCAACACAACTGACTCAACAAAACCAGCACACACAGCGAAAAATAAAGTGAAAGAGGGGGACAGGCAAGAGCCATGGTACTCAGTCTGCTGAAAATGCACGGGGTGATATGTATATGTATGTTTGGAGCATGTTTCTCACCGTCTTTGTAAATAGCCTGCAAACATAATGTGAGGCAACATTTCTGGACTAAACACACCTCCCCAAGCATGGAGTTATCATTAGGCTAGAGTCAATGTGATCAACGTCAACCTATTAATTTAAATAAAATAATTTCTAAGCAGTTGTGCGCCATTTGTATCTGTCAGTCTGATTAACCGATAAAGGACTGTAGTGATACAAGATACTTAGCTGTTATGGTGACATAGAAAGTACCGTTTTGTCCAACAGGAGAAGCTGTGATCTCTTAAACATGCTTGTGTCTATTTCTACATCTATACAAGTAATCCACTATGAATCTCATGTGGGAATTCGCTGAATTCTATTCTAAATTTACAATAGAACATTTTCAGACTTATACTGAATTCATGAAAAAACTGTGAAAAAACACAAAACACTGCAATCTCCCATGAATTGGTGGTAAGGTTTGTAGAGATTTGAACATATTGCGCATAAATACTGAGCATTCACAGCTTGTATCATACCTAGATGCAACTGGTTCTATGATTAAGCTATCATTTTTTTGTGTTTTATGTTCTCACATTTAACAGATTACAATGTCTTGTGAAAAAATTCAAGCATACAAAGATGTCCCCTGTGATGACAGATACTAGAGTGTAAAAATAAGACACCTCAGTTTATAAGAGCTTGCCTGGGGCTCACGTTCCTAAAAAGACATGTTCTAATTAAGTCATTCGCACTGAAGCACTTTTTGCTGGAGTTCACGAGCCAGCAGAATTGATTTACCTTGGCGCAACACCGTTCTATTTGACTAATTCAGCTAATTATGTCCAGAGGCATTTTTCTTCTGCAGCTCTTGCCTGCCTTTGCTGACTGCATTCAGCGAGGGCACACAGAGAACTTTCCACAACAGTGCATCAGAGCCCCAAACCCAAGAGCAGCGCCCAAGACAACTCATACTCAGGATTGCAACAACAGTGGTTTCAAGCACTTCATTGTTGTAATTCTTATGCCACAAACAAGCAATAAGAATATCATGTTTTTTTCTTAGTAGCCTAATAAGGAGTTTGAGGTCATGTCTGTATGTTTCACAATCATAAACCTAAAGTTGCAGCTTGAAAATACACTACTGACTTTCAATGTCACAGGTCTGGTTTGGTGAAGAACAGAGTCTGACTAAAAGACCACAATGAAATATTCTGTTCTGCCTGAAGCCCCCTCTGGCTGTAGCCGAGAACAGAGAGACAAAGCTTGAACTTTAGCATTTCAGAGCTGCAAATATAGCAGCTGTGATATGACTGCACTGCCGCGTGTCGGACAGGAGAAATTCATTCCAAACTGTAGCATACAATGATGTAGGGCTGAATGACATGCTGTTCTGCTCTAATACTGCATTAATTGCTGGAGGACACCACATTACACTTTCAGAAAAATATCAGTATCTGTTCCCAACTTCAGTGACACCTAATTTAGTCCTTTCCTGAATGGTAGGTATGAGGTGTTAATGAATACACTACACTGCAATCACCCTCTCAGAGACATGTTGCATGCTTGTTTCAGTTCACATTTCTCAATTCAAACAATTTAAGCAAAGGAAAGAGTTCATCACAGTAAATTCTGAATGCCATGTTGTACAAATAGTTGTTGTCACTACCAGCTTGTTTGAGAAATGGATAAGACTCACAGAAACTCTTAAATGTTAAACAGAGATTGTTATTCATGTATTGTAAATCAGAAAAAGCAAGGCACAGTTGCCACTGGTACTGTTTCAATCAAATAAATTACACAATGAACCCTTAGAGGCTCACACATGAGGTGGTACCTTCTGTAAGATCACTAGCAAAGAGGAAGAAAGGTTAAGAATGAGCCCTTAGGTACTGTACATCTTCCTTGCTTGCTTACTAGCAGTCTGGAAAGGTACAGGACAATCTGTTTCAACAGCATGGTTGGGTAGCGTCTTGTAGATGTGCACCCTCCCAGTTGCTTGTAATATTGTTCATCCTGTAGAATGTGGTTGGATCTTCCAATCCTTTATGGATCTTGTAATCACTTGGACACTCTTAGACAGGACAGAGTTTTTAAAATTCTCCTAAACTAAAGGGGTTGATTTGTAAATTAAGTATTGCCTTTTTTCTGACTGTCCATTATTCCTGCCAAAGATTAGACTGTGTGAACAGCTAAACAGTATAACTAATTTTTTTAAAAAGTGAAAACAGCACAGTACAATTTGTTCAAAAGTGTTTAGGTTAGGTTTTTCAGTGAACAGCTAGTGAAAGGAATTTAGGAATAGAAATCACTAATTAGAGGACATCATTTGCCCCATCTTTCTTACTCTGGTATTGATCAATTGTGAACCAATCCATTTGTTTCCAGGGGTATCAAGCTATGTTATTGTCTACACTAATAGAAAATACAATTTATTCCCTTACATAATCTGCTGTCCACGTGTGCACATGCTTCTGGAATATTTTAAGCAGCAGTCACTAACACACACATAGTATCTTAATGCATAAAGTTGCAAGAGGTAAGAAAACACAGCCAATGTGTTCTGTGTTTAAATCGTTCCTCTTTAATGAGTGCATAGAAGCCTAAGGCTGCTCTGTTTACGGTTCATAAAACTTGGCCCGTAAGCCTCTTGTGGGACTATAATAAGAGGCCTGCACTCCTTTCATGCGCCCTGCTCAAACTGTACATCAGTGCACATGGAGGCTCGGGGAGAAACCTTCCAGGTTCAATCTTCCAATACAAGTGGGTGTTTTCACTTCTCCCACATGCACAGACTCTGAGAGAGCACAGCAGCTGAGTCTCTGGTGTCTGGAGCCACAGTCCTGCCTGGATCCAGCTCAGTGACTTAAAGTAAGTCCTGTCTCTTACATATGCACCATAGCAATGTTAACTGGAAATTGGTCCAAGAAAGTTTAAAAACTAGTTTTTGAAAAATAACTGAGTATTTTGAGTTCAAAATCCTCGTTTCTTACACAAATTCAGAGAAAAAGATTATTTATGAAAAGACATTAGGCATGCTGAACTTATCTTGATAATGCGAGGAACCTACAAAACCTTTTTTGAAAAGTAAAGTGAAGATCATAAAAGGTACATGGAAACTCATGTTTAAAATACTTGTTGACCAGTTTTGGGTGCATGTTCAGAAAGAACAATGCTGCCCTTAAGTTCAAAGAAGACAGAGCCAAAAGACTCCTAGTCACACAAAAAAGTAAGAAATAAAATGCTCTAGTGAGGCTATGAGATTTACATCTACTTCTTTCCTTAAAGGTATATGGGATTCTTGTGAAAGAAACCAGCTGTTTAATGAAGCCAACTTTTAATAAACACTCTAATTATATTATTTCATCATGTAGGTATTTAGGATGGGCTGAAGGCCCTATTCTCGATTGTAACAATGTTTTTTCTTTAGTTCCATACCCTGTTTGAAGGCACCTACAAAGTCACAGGATTTGCTGTTTCACCAAAACTAGAAGATCCTGACCTCCGGGGGCTGACACGCCCCAGCATGCACCATGCCAGATGTGCACCACTGCTTGGTGACTCCAGGTCCCAGCAGCCCAGAGACTTGACCCAGGCTGGAGCTGTCAATGTCTGGGAGCTATGGCGGAGCCACGTGGCAGCTCCCAGGACTATGGGAGGGGCTTAAATGTTTTATTCAATACATTGTACATCTGTAAAAAAGCTTTAGCTGCAGTATAAAGTGCTTTTCACAACAGTTTTATTGTCACCAGGTTCTGAGCTTCCTGTTCATGTCATAGGCAGACTTTTACCCACCCATAACTGTTGTAAAAGCTGTGCAGATCTATACAGAACAAACAGTAAAATTTCAGATAAAGTGAAAACTGATCAAATATGCAATAAACTACCAGAACACAGTCACATTACACAATTTTCTGTTTTATTACAAGAATGAAAGTCTACTTAGCTCACCTCCAAATGGTATGGAGCTGCTTTTCATCCAAGAGACTTTCACTTGTCTTTTACTCTTCCCATGTTCAACTGGAGCAGCATTTACATGTGAAACATAATAACCAGCACTAGGTGGCAGGAAAGTATAACTTAGGTACTGAAGAGAGGTCTGACAGTTGAAATTGTCTAGAGGCAAGGGAGATTCAAAGAACACTGCAACTGGTGTTCTGTAAATTGTGGGACATGTTAATGAAGTCTTCTGGGAGTCTTCCTTAGACAGCTGTTCAAGTTAAATGAATATAAGCTTGAACTATTTGTGATTTTCTGGTGGTCAAAGAAAAAAAACACCCCCCCCCAAATAATTTATACTCAGCTCACATCTGGTCATCTGTTTACATATTAGAATTGAAAAACAAGGATATTTAGAAAGCTCCCTAGTGGACAGTGTTGAAATTGGTTATTTTTTATCATTTTTTCTTAGTGACCCATTGCTTACAATCTCAACAAAAGGCAGCAACTGTATTCCAACATCTGGCCTGATTCACAGCCCATTCCTTAAAGAGCTGTCAGACTGGGTTTTTAATTTGGGAGTTTTGGTTAGGGATTGTCAGACAACCCAACATGTCAGAACACTGTGTCATAGTGTGCTAAATTCTGCAAGTTGGCATTTTGCTGTCACATTGTTGTAGTCTATCAAAAACTGCCTTTAGAAAATGATGTTGAACGTTGTTGAAAGTTGAACCACTAAGATCTTGTTTTGAAATAAGATTGATATGGTAGTTTGGTCGTAGGAAGAATGCTATATGCTTTGCATTTCATCCAGTGGGGTTAGAAATCTGTCCATCCTGATTCTCGTCACTTTTTGCACACTGGCGAGGAAGAGATGAGAAAAAGCTTCTCACAGCCAGCAGTCACCTCCACAAGGCAGTCCCAGGCCTTGGCTCAGGCCTTCTTGGCAAAGCAGACAGACATTAGTCAGCCTGATGGGCAAAGAATAAGAAGGACAAAAGCATTCTTCAGGGGAAGCAGTCAGGTCAGGAGTGGTGTGTCCAGGAATGTGTGCTTGATGGAAGCAGAATCTTGCAAACAAAAACAATTCCTTCTTTTATTTTTAAAAAAGAAGCCAATGCCTAAAGATACAGAGATCATGTGAAGCAGGCTGTCCTGTGACCTGGGATTCAAAAAGTTATTTACTGGATGAAAATATGATTTACCAGGCCCGAAATTAAACTGGGCACAAAGCAGGAACACCTGTTCCAAACTGAACAGAGAGGATTGCAAGAGAAACACTACGGCACCCGAGGGGTCAGGTAGGCCAGGGGATGTTTGTAAGCACGTGTTTATCTGGGCTTACCAATGTCCCTGCACTGTACAAGGAGCCTGAGGAGCTAGGAAGGAGGAACACAAACCTCTTGCAGCCAACTGCTCTTGACACCATGAGCTCTGCACAGCCACACAGCAGGGACAGCTCTGACCCACTGATTGGCACCTCTCGCCCGTAAGCCACTGCGAGCAGCTGACAGCCCAGCTCGCTACAGCTTCCTGAGCTGCATCCTGGGGCCACCAGTTTTGTCAGTTTTTTTATATTTTTATTAAATTAAATGATTACATAAAAATATACAGTGATTGTACAAATCTGATGACAGATCTCCATTTCTCAGTTCACCTGGTCACATGGTTTTCTTTCAAATCAAGTCAATCTCACCTGGAACCAATGTGACGTTTTACAGCCTGGAAAACTATCAGACTAAGACACCAGACTGTACCAACGTGGAGCTAAAAAGTATAAAACCTGGAATTGATGGGGCAGAAGCGATTTTAAATAAAACACCAACTGAGAAACCCTATTTTAATACAATCCCAACAGCTGTCTGTGAAAAAAACAACACCCTGGACAAAAGTATCCACAAAATCAGTAGGGGAAGATGGCAGGTCCTGCAGTCCAGGATTTCAGTGTGTACTGACTCCGCAGTAACAAGTGACTTGTTTCTGGAGCAGCGTTGTGCTGTTTTGTGTGTCGCTTGCTTGCAGATTAATGCAATGACAGGAATTAATGATTGGAGTTTCAGCGATTGGAAACATGATCAAATTCCTACTATAGTGCATGAGGTAAGCACGTCTCACCTGAACACAGGACTCATCCGGATTGCCCCTCACAAGCCAATGGCCATGGAGACACTCAGCTTTGTGGTCAAAGGATCCACGGTCATGGTCTTGAGTGGGCAATATTATGAGGATTTTGTCGGATCATGCTAATGTCATTGGTTCAGCAATTTTTTCACTGGGTACAGTAAATTGTGTGAGTCTTCATATAGTTATTGTAATAGAATTGCAAGGACAGCTCATTTTTGCATTTATTTGGTCTGTCGCATCTGAAGTGTAAAGCAGGAAAATGGGTGTAGAGGAAAGGTCAGTGACAAAGAGACAAAGGAAATAATAAAGGGAGGTTGTGTGAGCTAATACTTGTTTCTTGCTTATAAATGTGACGCCTGATGATTGGATAATAGCAATGGTAAGTTTTTAACAGTTCTGTACTAATCACCAGCTGATCTTTAATACAGGCCTCTTATGTTGTACACAAATGGAATTTCCATGAAAGGGGTATTAGTGATAGCTATGTAGCAGAATTAAAAGACCTTAATGAGCATCCAGACTCAATTACATTCTGAATTACCCTCTCATCAAAGCATGGAATTAGTGAGGCAGAGTTTGGGGAAATGCCACTGAGGCAGTCTGTATTCAATCAGACTTTGCTGATAAGGGTTTTCATACAGTTTTTTTTTAACCAAATTAATCAGCACATTTACATATGACTAAGCTAATGAAAATCTACTTCTTTCAAAAAGCTAATGTTCCAATTACTTTTTGGAAACCAATTTTTACATGACTTTAAGAAGTTCTAATAAATGCTGCTGTACCTAAGTGTTATATTCCCGGATCCTACTCTAGACAAGTGAGAAATGTCCAAGTTCGGTTAACATATGCTTCATTAAATCAGTTCACCCACACTTTCATCATGCTCATTTCTGAAGATCTTCAGAACAAATGTGAGTAATGCTCAAAATACATAGAGCAGTTCCTTTGCATAATTGCTTCTTGGTGTTCAGAAATTCTGTTTGTGGCAGCTTTTTTAAGTGATGTTTTACTGGGGTTATAATTTCCATATATATTTTTTTTAATTTCCTATAATTTTTTCTGCCCACTCATAAGAACATACCCCTGCAAAATGCAGTAAGTTCATTTTCTTGTATAGTTACTGCAGGTGCAGTACGTGTCTATATGAGTTGTGCTAATGCATTCCCCTCTGGCGGCACTTTCTACCTGTGAATATCACAACTGTACCAGCACTGAACATCTTCTCGGAAATGGACTGTCCAGACTGTGCCTATAGACATGAACACTGTCCGCTACACCTATACCTCCAACTGCTAACACCCATCCATTTTCTAACCACTTTATCTAATACAGGATCACGAGGGACAAGGGGGGCATGAGGGATGTCCATCCCAACCAGCAACAGGCACAAGGCAGGATACACCCTGGATGGGGTGCCAGTTCCATCCAGTTCCAACTGTTACTCTGCATTACAAAAATTACAAACTCATCACTCGTATTGCATTCCTGCACTGATCACTACAGAAAATCACATCACAAGTACCTTTTATGAATTTTCTATTATGCTGCCTGCTTGGTGTTGGTGAATTGTTATCCCTATCTTATATACTATGAATGCCCTATAAATATATCAAGCTCTATGTTTGCTTTACTTTGTGATTTATTGCAATTTCATCTATAGAGAGAGTTTATAACATACCATTACATACGATTGTATTATTAGCCATAGAAAATAGTAATAGTTTATTGCTTTTTACCTTAAACTCTGAGCATAATGATCTGTGGTGGACTCCCTAATATTCCCGTTTGCAGCCTACTGGATAACTACGCAATTACATTGTTTTCCCAAGCCGGAGCTGTAATGCTCTTTGCCGAAGCCCTGAAGTGTGCCTCTCCCATTAATGGAGAGGAGAAATAATGCCACTGATTGGGTTTCCCATCAAGAACTGTAAACACTCAGAGGGCTCGGCTAAGGTACCAGCCTGAGCAGTAATGAGAAATTAGAGTGAGATCAATAGTGATTAGAAATGCAACTGGGAGCTCCTTGATGAAGGTTTGAGCCGTCAGACTAAACACGTTCACCACATCTCTAATTGTCTCGATCTGCGGACCCCTTGCTTAAGGTTAAAGGCGTGTAATGGAGTGGTTAGGCAAGTTGATTTGATTTGACTCCGTGTCAATGCTCTCATACTGCAATCACTTCATTGGGGCTCCAATCCTGCCTTCATTTCACCAATCAAATAGTAGATAGTCTGAATATATGGCTTTGTTATAAAACAGGTTACAGCCTCCCACCCGCAGAAAACAGCAAAATGGTCACACATTGTGCTACATCTAATCAAAGGACTTTAAAGAGATTTCTCACCTTGGCCAGAGCCGCTGAGGTGAGAACACTTATAAGCACAATCACAGTTGTAGCTACTTAACAGGCACATCTTTTACCTGTTGAAGAGGTTGTTCCTGCTAACCATGCGCAGGAAGCCGGTGGGGTCGGTGACAGAGTTGAGCTTGTTGTTGAGCTCCTCAAACTGCTGGTCCAGGAGGTCACCGGCTTCGCTCTCTGTTTCACTGCTGGAACAGGCCCTGCTGAAGACAGGGAACCATCATGAGCCATCAGCCAGAAGCAGCACTGTGCTGCACAAATGCATATGTTCAGCGACCAACTTGTAGCACATTACTGCATATCACCAAAACAGCAGTCTTCTCTTCCCAAAGCAGAGGAGGTAAAGATGATATGCTTGTCAGAATCCGTTACTTAAGACCACACAACATGGAAATGCTTTTAGCCAGAGTATGGGTTTCCCAGATTATTTCTGAATGCAAATAACAAGCTTAATTCCTAAAACAACAAACTTGGTTTCAAATGCTTCTGCAAATCAAACTTACAAGTTCCTGTTCTTCTCAACCATGTTGTTTTGCGTTTGACTGAGTTGGTAAAGCTAGACTGAATGGTAAATGGACAAGCAGGTCTCACCTTGACAAATAGGGGTGAATACAATCTTAAACTTTTCTGAACAACATTCAGAAAAGGATTTGAAATCCTGTCTGCATATGATGTCTGTTATTGCTGCAGTTGTTGATGAAGCTACAGTGTAGCATGGTGATAGCCCACTGCTAACTCACAGTCTTAGCGTACTAGTAAATGTCATTTTACAGTATCTCCTAAACAGTACCGAAGTACCACTTCTCCCCGTTTACAGGTCTTATCATACCATAGATGTCAATTTCAAATAATCATACTCTTCTACACAACCATGCTAAACAGCTGACATACTTCAACATCCTGTGCTTTGCTATGTAATCATTAAATCTTACCATAGTATAGTGACACAATATCCTCTACATAAGTTTTCAAAACCAAACAATAGAGATAACTATGATTAGAAATGTTTGCATGTTTACATATTTGTGATTGAAAAAATACCATATATTGTAATACCAATCACAAAAGCAAAACACCTTCCATTTTTCTCTGCACTGCCAACAAGGTTTTGCCAGAAATGCCAGTTGTGTGCATTTTCCCATTTCAGCTCACAGCTTCGATCCTCATGACCACACAAAGGGGAGAGTGTGGAAATCCAAATGCTGGCACCCCTCCAACCTGCTCACCCTTGAGCCACTTGTCTTTTGACACGTTACAGGAAACACATCCCTGTACGAGGACGATTAGCACTGCAAGGATCACTGAGTTGCTGAGAATGAGGACAACCCTAGCCATTTTAACTCTAGTGGTGCTCAGCCAACTGTATGCCACCAAGGGGGAATCTCAGTCACAGTCGGCTAGTAACATTACCAGGCACAAACTGCTGATATCACATAGTTCAGTCTGCAATAAAGCAACCACTTTAGCTGGATGAGTAACTCAGGAGCCCCCAAAACTAAACTTTTTGAACGAAATTGTTTTTGTTTAAATGACTTTGACACTTGCTAATTGCTTAAACTGCTGGTTTATAGACATTATCATGCTTTCAAAACAAACTAGCTATCAAAATATACAGTACTAGCTATATATTAAGACCCATACTGAGTTTAAAGAAATTATCTTTATGAAGCAAAAACTACCAAAAATATAATGAAAGAGAAATCAATTTACCAATATAAAGCAAAAAATGTAAAAGAAAAAGTCCAAATAATTAAACAGTAGAGCCAGAAGTGTGTGACTTCTGGTACCAGCTCCAGTCTCCATACAACACATGAAACAGCTCCTTACAGAGAGATGGCTGAGCTTATTTGCTCATCAAGCATATCCTCTCAGCATCTGTTCCCAATGGCCTGTGAATCTCTCCAGTGCTATGGCTCCCTGACTGCGTGCCCAGGGGAAGACTGTTGTGCTCTGTCATTTACATTTTACTGCAGTTTCTGTAAACGGACACTGAAGAGTGGAGAGGCATGACACCAAAGCCTGGTATGTTCACTCTGGACAGTAACACTCTGGAGTCTGTGTGTTCACTCTGCACAGTAACACTCTGGAGTCTGTGTGTTCACTC